TAAGTAGATAGATAATTGCTGCCAATTTGTTTGCCACTGCCAAATGTGGTTGAATGTGGAAATGGCCCCATTTTTTCCCCACCCAAGACAAGACGGCAGCTGATCTAGGGGCAGTCCAGTACTAACCAGGCCTTCGCTGTACAACCCACAGACACTCACTACAGCATGGAGGGGGAGGAGTATCTGTACTCTCTTACCACTGTGATGTACTGATACAGATTTAAGCTAATGATTTTATCATCCAACAGGAAAACAGTTGTCTCATTCATGGGGTTGTCTTGCTACAGAAACGTCAACAAGAATCCAGAACAGTTTACAGCATGAAATTTTGTTAAACATTTTTTTGCTGAATCAGAAGTTTGATTCATTCCTCAGCAGTGCTTTATAAATAATTCAGCAAATTTAATGCTGTTTTAACATTTGGCAAATCTTCATTTTTAATTCACTAGGAGGAAAATGCCCTTTTTTTACTCGGCTTACAATCAAATACCTTCTCACTTGTACTAAAAAAATTGATTAGATACACCACTTCTTATGTTACAAAGTATTTTCCCATATTGGTGGAAAGGGGGTTACTGGAACTGGATTTTGGGGTTAAAAAAAAAAAAAATACTGTTAACCGTTCTCTAGTTCAGTGTCTGTGGCTTCTACAGCATCATGTTTTCCCTAACTCTCTTATTTATGAAGTTAGTGTAGATCATACAACACAGATTGTCAATGCCTCACCTCTCTGTTCTGCAAGACTCACTGGGTTCCTGTGAAAGATTCTGATGCTGAAAACAAAACACCTGCATGATATGGCCCATATATTGGAGAAAAATTTTTTATATCGGAGAATGTATTGGATATTTGAAGGAAAAAAAAGAATTATAAGGGATCCAGGTGAAATTCTTGTTGCCAGAATTCATCAACAATTTACTTTTAATGACGGTATGCATTTCCCATGCTGTTGAAAGACAGCAAATACATTGTTTAAAGTTTGATGTTTTCCCAATCGAGTGATGCAGACACAAAGAGGTTTCTAGGGCAGATATGCAATAAACAACTTCCATACGGTAGCTGTATTTGTGGCCATTTCTTTGGTCCTTACTTAAGAAAGTAGAACCTTGATTGCAATCACCACAAATCACAGATGAAATTCGATGTTCCTCAATATGCCGAAGCTTGATTGCAATATCTGTGTGTAATCCTATTGAATGGCGCTCAGCATCATTGCTCTGACCTAGAAAATTGCAATCGAGAGAATTTCACATGGTGCAAGTTTGCGTCTAGCTTCAAACTTTCTAAAGACAGGACTAAAAATTATGATGTGAAAAATGGTTTTGAATGCAGCTGCTAAAACATTGGAGCATATTCTCTGAAGTTTGTGAATTACAAATCTCATTTGATTACGTTTCTCTTGTACAGGAACCTGTACTGTGCTGATGTATTGGAGATATTTACATGAGATGATTTGTAAATTTCAAATTTTCTTGAGAGTGGGCTCTGGATGGGATTTGCTTTTCAAATTCTATAAATAATGTGTCCTGTTTTTTATATCATTTAATAATTTGTTGGATTTTATTATTTAAAAGAATGGCACAAAATTTAAATGAATCACCTTGCAAGTATGCTTGATTCAACTATCCAGGAGAAATACATAAATGAGGATGCAAAATGTTATAGCTTTGATATCTGCTTATAAGGATGAATATATGTAATGTTTATCTTTGCGGACCTTTATTGACTGGCTTTAATGAAAACAAACCTCATCCACGTTTTGAGTGTATGTTTGTCTACTCTGTTGAAACTAACTACTAACTTGCCCAAATAACATGTAGAGTCATAGAGCATGACATATTGTACCCATGTTTAAAAGTTGGTACACTGTATGTATCCATTTGTTTACTGTATTCATGGGTACAGTATGTATTTATTGGTACACTGTATATCCAATATATACAATATATCCACTGTTTATCCAGTGGTATATATTGGTACACTATATGTAAACACTGTATTTTTGGTATACAGAAAATAATGGGTGGAGTCATCGATTGAAGAATTTTGATAAAGCTGATATGGACTTTCATAAAATAAAAATTAAAGATTAACTTTAAGATGTGAGAGCTAAAAGTGCTTTGTTATCCTGGGTTTCTATAAATGTTGCTTGCCTAAATGAATGATATGTGATTCATCTGGCTTCTGCTGTTAGAAAATAATATTTGCCTGGCTTGGAATGCACAAGGGAATCAGAATCTGGGACAATTTATCTGTTGTATGTGTTTGTTAGCATGTATTAAAGACATCAACTGTTACAGGCTTGCCGAACTCTGGCCGTCGAGACTCGCTGACGGGATCTTTGGATTACAAGCGCCAGATCCCGTCAATGAGCCCCTTCTACAACACGGCTGGCCTGGGAGGGATCAATTCCCCCGCCGGCCCCATGGGACTGGTACAACCAGCTCAGTCGCTGACACCGCCACCATCATTGTCTGGATCAAACTCCAGTTTAGGACTTGGTAAGGGTGTGGTCTGTATGATTAAAAGGTGTGGATGTGGGCAGTTCTGGCAAAAAGATGGGCTGATTTTAATTTTGTGTATTTAATAAGTCAGAAAACTAAAATAGTTCTATGAAGACAGAGACAAATATGAAGTAAAAGAAATTCCTTAGCCAGAATAAGGGGAAAAACACATTGAGAGGGAGTTAGGATAAAACAAACAAATACACTAACCTATTTCTACTGGAAAAAGAAAAAAATATTTTGCTAAAAAAAGTGCCTTCAGGTCTCTTCATCCTTAACCCAGTTCTTCAATGTTCCAGGCCTAGGCAGCAGTGGCAGGCTGTACTCCCCAGCCCCAGGGGCCGAGGCCAAGCTGCGTAATGGCAGCCTCGGCTCTGGGGGTCTCTTTGGCAACACCCTGTTCCCCAGCAGCAAGTCTGGGCTGCGTACAGCTAGTCTCTCCAAAGAAGTCACGGGGCGTAGCCGGCTGCTGGAGGACTTCAGGAACAACCGTATCCCTAACCTCCAGCTGAAGGATCTTCTGCATCATGTGGTGGAGTTCTCACAGGACCAGCATGGGTCAAGGTAGGTCAAGGTCAAGGTTGGTCAAGGTCACTGGGGCAGGTGGTTCATTCACCTTTCCACAGATAATTACGCACATGTGCCATCTATGTTATTCATGCTACATTCTGGTCTAGATATGTACATCCACATCTATTTCCAGTCAAGCAGATGCAGCTCCATTGCTGCTGGAAGTAGGCATGATCACACAACCAGAAGAAATGGGTGAACCACATGTGTGTCCTTATCTGTGGAAAGATGCATTGTTGGGGTCTTAATGATTTTGAGCCTGGTTTTAATGCATGACAAAAGATTTACAAGTTGGACGATTTACTGTGAGCATATACTTTCTTCAAACATAGTAAATACTATTGCATGGTCGTACTTTATCCAACACTTGGTCATCCAGGTGAGCTGGACTTGTTCTGGCTTTACTTGGCTCTGTCTGTGTGGCGTATGGGAGCTGAATACCCCCACAAGGGGTTTGAGGCATATTCCCTTTCCACAGTGTTGGAGAGTAACCAAATCCCCGGTCCTCTGTGACTGGTGTGGACTGAACCTTGCATATTCCATCAACTTTCTGTAGTCACTAGTTGACCTTGACAGAGGAGAAAGACCATGCAAGGTACATTTCATTTTCATGTCTAGGGAAACAGACATGCTGAAACTCTCTGTCCGATCGGTCATGACCGGGAACATTTGCCTGGACCTGTAAAAAATTGGACTTGGTCAGTCTAAAGGACTGACAAGAGTTTTAAGAACCACAATTTTGAATTTACATTCATCATTCGACATACTTCACTAATATAATTATTTAAAACCCAAAGCATTTTCCCTTCCATTTCAAACCTTTCACATTCACAAACAAAGTAAGCTACCTAATTGTACTGGTAGTATCTGTCTCAAACGAATAGGGTGATTTTCGGTCCAACAAAAATCCATTTGGTCCAGCAGATTTTTTCATTACTGCCAGTCCAAATGTCCGGCCATTGTGAAAAGTTTTCAGCATGTCTGGGGAAATGAGATAAATTTGAGTAAGTCTGCTCTTTTGCCCAGATTGTAGTGAGCCTTAGGCTTATATAAACCAGAAAGGTGAGTAGTGACACCTCTGATTACATTGCCCAGTATCCTCAACCCCCATCAGGTTATCTAGCTATAAGGCCCTCTTTAAGCATTATAAATGTCCTTGTGAATGTGCTCGTTTCTCATATTTTAATTATCTTCATTAATTAATGTTAATGATTGTGTCCCGTCAGGTTTATCCAGCAGAAACTGGAGCGTGCCACGCCTGCAGAGAAAGCCATGGTGTTCAACGAGATCCTTACCGCAGCCTACAGCCTGATGACGGACGTGTTTGGCAACTACGTGATACAGAAGTTCTTTGAGTTTGGAACCACGGAGCACAAGCAGACCCTTGCGCAACGTGTGCGTGGCCACGTGCTCCAGCTGGCCCTGCAGATGTATGGATGTCGAGTGATCCAAAAGGCGCTGGAGTCTATACCCCCGGACATGCAGGTAAGGACAGACACCTGTCTTACTTCTAGGCCCTCTTCACATCTAAGAGGTGCAGTTTGCTGTATCACATCAGGGTCCCGTAACTCGAAAGCATCGGGTGTTGCAAATAGCGATATCACATAGAGGCTACTATGTATTATATGGGTCGTGTTATGGAATCGAGACGCTTGCACTCAGTCGCAATGCGCGATGCTTTCCAGTTGCAGGGCCTGCTACCAGAGGGTTTTACTCTCTTTCACAAGCCCCAATATACCAGTCAGAATTGATCTCGGGGGGGCTATACTTATGTGGCTGTTGTGCAAAACGCTAGACTGGCTAAATTGTCAGGTGATCATTCACCTTTCCACAGATAATGACAGTGGTCGTGGTTTCATGCCTATTTCGTTGATGGCATGCATGGTAAACCCATTTCTTGCATCACTGGAAACCAGCATGACACCTCAGCTAACAAAAATGGGTTCATTGCGCATGCAGATCTCTGTCTTAGTCTGTGGAAAGCTGAATACTGGACCGATACAAAAATCTGTACTTCCTGATGTGAAGAGGGCTATAGCTCCATTCTCACTTTCAGTTGTTTATATATGGTATCGTTCCTGCTGGATCAACCACACCAGTGCTGTTATGAGATAAAACATATCTCTGTATATTTCTTTTTATAGCCTTAACCATACAGTGTAGCATATAATCTCATGTCCACCTTGTGTTCAGTAAAAAAATACATATAAATATTTTAGTCATGCCTTCCACAGTACACTGAAACCTCTTGACATCTCTGTGTGTATATCTTGTCATGGCTTAGTGGTGTACAGTGAAAAATATCAATATCTAAATGTATTTCTCCCACACCCTGCCCCACAAGTAAACTGTAGCATATATCTCTTACTATTTATCTTGCCCCATCAATGTGACCAGTAGCATATGTCTCTCTATATATTTCCTGTGGTACGCAGCCTCACCAGTGCGTTGACATTGTCGTGTCACAGGTGGAGATCGTGAAGGAGCTGGATGGCCATGTGCTGAAGTGTGTCAAGGATCAGAACGGCAACCATGTGGTGCAGAAGTGCATTGAATGCGTGGAGCCCAAGCACCTGCAATTCATCATTGATGCTTTCAAGGGCCAGGTAATTAGATGTAATAGCATTGTGGTCATATTTGTTGGGAATGTTTTTGCACAGTTTTTTTATTACATTTAATTTCCGTCTTCATCCGTGGAGATACGTGGAAATTAGGGAAAAAATAAGTCTGGCAATGAAATTAATCATATATATATATATGATGGGAATATTTAGTAATGGGTATATGAAGTAAGTAAATAGTACAAAAAATCACTCATTTTTGCATGAACCACTGTCACTTTCTAAAGAATGTTAAATGATGTGCCATCATTAGAAAATAAGATTTATTTTGTTTGTGTGTGTGTGGGGGAGGTGAATTATATTAAAATAAATAATATATTTTTGGAGGGAAAAATATTCTGATTTTATGTTGATATTTGAGCAGGTGTTTGCTCTGTCCACCCATCCTTATGGCTGCCGCGTGATCCAACGCATTCTGGAGCACTGCGTCCCAGAACAGACGCACGGGATCCTGGAGGAGCTGCACCAGCACACAGAGCGTCTGGTGCAGGACCAGTACGGTAACTACGTGATACAGCACGTACTGGAGCATGGCAGCCCCGAGGACAAGAGTAAGATTGTGAATGAGCTGCGCGGGAAGGTTCTGGTCCTTAGCCAGCACAAGTTTGCCAGGTAAGAGCATATTCATAACAACGGACTAACAAGTCCCTGGATCAAATATGGCGACCCATTTAAAGCTTGTCACTTTAATACTTATTAGATGCTAAAAATTCCCAGCATGGATTGTGCAACAAATAATCAAGTGGGTCAGCCATATTTAATCTGCGGATCTGTTAGTTCGCTGTTCTGAAAGCACTTTCAGAGGTGATCTATCAGTTGGTGAAAATGGGTTTCAACTACCAAAATGTTGCATTGAAAACATAAAAAGCATTTGATGTTGAGGTGCAAGTACATGAATTATCAATAGAGGAAAGGAATATTCTGCTGTTGAGTGCCTAAGGTATGTACAGGAATGTTCTTTCATTAACAGTAATGTGTATTGGATCTTAAACCAACCCAACACTTGGTCATCCAGGTTAGCTGGACTTGTTCTGGCTTTACTTGGCTCTGTCTTTGTGGCGTGTGGGAGCTGAATACCCCCACAAGGGGTTTGAGGCATATTCCCTTTCCACAGTGTTGGAGATCAACCAAGTCCCCGGTCCTCTGTGACTGGTGTGGACTTAACCTTGCATATTCCATCAACTTTCTGTAGTCACTAGTTGACCTTGACAAAGAGAAAGACCATGCAAAGTACACTTATTTATTTTGTTGAAGAACAAAAAAACTTAATTATGTCTATTGATATGATTTTTAAATCTGTTAGTATCGTGACCTTTTGTCCATCAATGCATCACTAGAGTGCTAGTCCAAGTTTTTGACTTTTGTCCATCTTTTGCAACTTGCATATATTCTCCTGAACATAAACACTCACTTTGGTTCTTCCAATGAAATTGCCATTCCCTGTATATATGAGAGAGAACAGCTCAGGTAAAGTTATTCTTCATCCTATATTTCAGCAATGTGGTGGAGAAGTGTGTCTCCCACTGCTCCAGGTCAGAGAGGGCCATGATGATTGATGAAGTCTGCAGCATGCAGGATGGGTAAGCTCAGTTCTAAGATTGACCAGTAAAAGAGGCAGAGGTGTCTTGGAATTATATGGATATTTGGATGTCATATTTATGCCCTTTCCACCCCTTCCTTGCTGGCGCTCTCTCTCTCTCTCTCTCTCTCTCTCTCTCTCATTGAAATCGCAATGACTGTTAATTGTTAAATGTAAGTTCCAGTATCACAGTCATTCATCTTTATCATTCTTATCCTGCTGAACAGCTCAAACCATTCACTCGTTTAAAATTGAGTGAACAGACGAAACAGGTAAATCATATATCTGGATCTGTCATAAATGAACATTTTCTGTCTGTCATTCACATGTTTGTTTCACTATGTCCAATTCCTCATACAACACCATGATGAGGTATCCGTTACGTTCATTCACCTGTATGTATATATATATACATTTCAGGGTGCACAGTGCCTTATACACCATGATGAAGGATCAGTTTGCCAACTACGTGGTTCAGAAGATGATCGACGTGGCGGAGCCGGCACAGCGCAAAATTCTGATGCACAAGATCCGTCCTCATGTGTCCACGCTGCGGAAGTACACCTACGGCAAGCACATCTTGGCCAAACTGGAGAAGTATTACATGAAGAACAACTCCGACCTGGGACCCATTGGATTGCCGCCAAATGGAGGGATGTAAAATGGAGAAACTAGCGTGAAGGTTTTGTTTCTTATATGAGGACGGCATTGCACTAGATGCGTGTGCCCCTTAAATAATTGAACTTGTGCAACCAGTGCTGGTATTTTTTTTT